AACTGATATTTACATTGCAACGCTACAAACGAAATGCTGAAATTATTACACCCGCATGCTTAGATGCTGGATATGAAAATCAATGAGTTCATACGTGATCTTATAAAGAAAATAAATTGACATGCAAATGATTTTAATTTTATACACTGCACGACAAACAATTTCAATACAATCTCTTTAAAAACTCTTTCACTTAATACTGTACAAAAAAAATAAAATAAAAATACAAAATAAAATAAAATAATAAATAAAGTATCACCAGTTAACGAACGAGAGGTTATTGCTTTCATACCGTAAATTTTAATAAACTGCATTGTGATGAAGCTAGTGAGAACAACGGGGGAAAAGAGAGAGCGAGAGAGAGCGAGAAAGAAAGAGAAGGATATAGAGAGCGCTTAAACTAGTGTTATAAATGCTATAAAATATTTTTATTTTTTTTTTTTTATTTTTATTTTATTTATTTATTTTTTTTTTTTCTTTTACACCCACCACAGGAGGAGGTCTATTATTATAACGGATAGCGTTATGCATCGATGACAACACGCGCTATATATATTGTATACATGTATACAACTCAGATTAACATGAAAAGCAAAATCAATTTGTTCATATCCCTTTTAAGCTTGATCTTATGTTCTTTCTTTCTCACAATACTTCAACTTAAATGAGAAAATTCAAAAATCTGGAAAATTCGTTTAAAAAGTTCGCTCGCAATAGCAAACACTAAAAAAATTTGAAATTGTTGTCTTGTGACCGTGCAACTTATTTACTTTGTTTCAATAAATAATAACACATTAGTCAACACACTCCGGAGTGGATAAACACTTGTCTTCCTTGACAAAAAATCCATACTATATATTTAGAAAGTATCAACCCTCCAGCTGCGCCGCTAAAAATTCATTCATTTTGTTTTAACAGTTACAGTTGGCTTAGTGATGCTATTTGTGTTGTTTTCAAAACATTCGAAAAATTCAAATTTCGTATATTGATTGAAGGGAAAAAACATTACTTTTTGAAGCGAAAAACCCCATTCAAAACTCATGTCGGGGAAACAATTTATCGAACAGGTATGATGCTGAAGCACAAAAAATATTCTGAAAGTTATTCTCGATAGCTGGAAATCAATTATGCGAAAAGTAGCTGACATCGTGAAGACATCAGTCCATTTAGTTGTTTGAATGAAAATTTGGACACAAGAAAGCGATTTTCCACGTTTACACGGAAGAGAGCAAAATCCACAACGACCAAGTCGTTGGTTACAATGATAAAGTGGCATGAGTGCAAGTTGCCCTGCTCTCGTCTATATTTGATGCCTTGCCACCACCATTATTTCTTTGCAAATCCCAAAAGGATACTTCAGGAAGAATCGTTTAGATTCAACGATAAAGTCGAAGTTACGAAGGCTAGAGTGCATCATTAGGATCTTGAAAAATTTGTTTTTCAAAAACACCATGATATAGTTAAAGAAGCATTGGATTAATTATTCCACTGTTAAATAGATTTATATCGATGAGTAAAGATGTCAAAATTTTGAAAAAGAAAAATAATAAATAAAAATAAAATTTGTCTTCCTAGTCGAGGCAATTACTGTCTGATGTTCTTATAATAAAAATTATGATATTCATATATATTGTGCGAATGGATATATTATGCTTTATTTAAGTTACATTATTATATTCCCGTGAACGTGAAAAATGGTCTGGAAGATATATCAAAATATACCTGTCAGATATATGCCGCAAATTATTGATTGATCACTTGACCAGCGGTGAGGAACAGCACAAAGTCTTCCTTCGTCCATTCATATATCTGTTGGATTGGTCAACGCACGATATTCAGCTTAGGCTGATATATAAATTATGATCGCAAATTCTTCTTCTTCGACAGATACATTTCAAAATTTAAGTAAAGAGATTTGTTTTTGAGCAAACAGTTTTTCTTTCTACTTTTGTATTTGCAATGAAGTGAAAAAGAAGAATGAGCTTAATGTTTTCCTTGTAATTGCAGACCGCAATGATATGAATTAACTTATAATTTGGAAAAAAGAGAAGTCGTAATTAATGACTTCATACTGTGGTAAGTCAACTATGAAGTATCGTTCATTTCAGGGAACTAATTATATGGTAATTAATTTATAAAATTATATTAACTACACTTCAATAATTATTATATATAATTACATTTATTAAAAATTAATAAACATTTAAAATGCAACAGAAATTATTACGTGAACATGAGTTTTTCAAATTTGATGTTTTTGTTTTCCTTTGTTTTATTAATAGAATTTCATGTTTTGACAATAAAATCAATGCCTGATCTTAACCTTCTATTTATTTTTAAACTCCAGTAAAACTGTTCACTGCAATATAACTCTGACTCATATTATTACAACAATAATTTACGTAATTTATTACTAAAGAAATAAAATTAATGACAACAACAGAAACAAGACACAGTAAGTAAAACGAGTGCGAGATCCCATAGTTCATTAAACGCGATTATCTCATACACCGGGAAAAGTGCGACTTTTTTCTTTTTATGATATATTTGTCATAGTCAATCAATAATTTCGCTTTTATTTAATTGTCGCATCAATCAAAGAATTTGATGTCAAAACTTGGAAAAAGGATGCGATTTATTTTTAGTTTAAATGCGAGAAAAAATCCATTCGCAATTGCTAAGAAAAGAGAAAACACTTCTGGTATGCGATAAATTTCCTTTTTAGTTTTTATAATCATTAGTAGGTGCGATTTTAATCAGAAAATTATGATTACTTGCTTATATTATCTTTAATCACATGATTAGCGATCGCGACTATCGCGACTAACAACTCAATGTTCTCGTGGATCATACCTCAAACGCGATAGAATTTTCAATACCGGCAAGCATATGATCGTAGAGTTATTTGGCAGTCTTCAAATTTGTTTGGAAATTATATAGAAAATATTTTAATTAAATAAATAAATATCTTGTAATCACTATAGCAAAATAAATATTGATTACACGAGATAAAATAATTGCAATGCAAAAGTGTAATTAAATCGATTCCGCTTTTCAAATTAATAGTCATGTACGATTCTTAATCATGTCTCCGATAATGCTTGAATGCTTGAATGCTTAATAAATATTCAATATTCCTAATGTATTTAATTATCAATGAGAAAATTCAGTTATTAACCCTCTGGGGTGCCTTTCGTTTTAGCAGTGCTTCGCAAATGGAAATTCGATTCATAAAATTTTTCATTTTTAGTTCAGGTGACATGAAAATGCCGAGCATTTTTTGCTTTTGAATTTTTTTAAAGAATTTCTTCGAGTTGACGTACGTCCGAGTACGTTAAGTCTTTAGCATGGAAATTTTCCAAGCGAAAATCAATAAGTCATTCACGTACACAAATTTTTTCACTATATACAATGCGCTACTGTATGGCTTGATAGAGAGGTTAATATTGCCAATTTTGCTCGACCCTAGAACGCGAAAACGCTATGAACACTTTTTCTTGAGCTATGACATTCTACATCGAAATAACGAATATACATACATATATATATCAGTAGTTTATCGGGAGAGAGAATGTATATACTTCGATACCAGTAAAAAAAAAATTATTGTGAAGCTAACTGTAATCGATATACAAACATGTGCTTATGTGCTTGTATACATCAATTATTTGGCATTGTTTTTTTAGTATGACGCTTGTAGCTCTTGAGCCAGATAAGCAGCTCAAACTTTTTACTGTGTACACAAGGTGATTAATTCAGAAGAGGGCATCGATCTAAATTTTATCCAATATCTTAAGGACCTTAAAAATAGTTATAGCCGGAAAGAAGTGAGAGAAGGAAGCAGTAAGGAAAAGTGGCCGCTGCCTCAGACTTATACGCCCGATGAATAAGTGTTACGTGTTCATTGTACACGGCATTGCATTTTAGGTTTGCCGACTAGGCCAGGCGGTAGCCTCAACCGTGAATTAGTGAAATAAAACTCTAAATACTAATTTCACAAAAAAATGTAAACACCATTCCATTGAAAGTCAATTCTAGTTTTGCAAAAAAGTGAAAAGAAATCTGTTTTGTTACTTTTTTACAAAAAAAAAAAAAAAGGTGAAAATTAATTTATTTTGAGCAAAAAAAAGAAATTTCTTAATGTACTTTTACAAGTTCTTTTCACATTAAAAATCTTCCTTAAAAAAATTCATTTAGCTTCAATCGCCATCTCGACATATATATCGCATCTTTTCATTTCCCGATATCAAAGTTATTGTATGTCTATAGCATGCTTATCGACCGATCGTAACTACACACTATGTATATAGCTTTCATTAAAATAAAAAAAGAATCAAAATTGACTTTCAGATTTTACAGCCTTATATAGATCTTTGCTCGGAAAGAAGGGTCCAAATTGTTTTTCAGATTTTATCTGCTTTCGATAAACAAGCTGACACAGATGCTTAAAAAATGTACAAATTTTACTTTCAGATTTCGAACGCTTCGATAACAATCTCTTTATAGGTTAACTATAAAGTTTCAACATACAATAGTAAAGAAAGGTTTATTTGTTTATCGTTTAATTGCTTACTAATACTTTTTTATTTTTATTTGAAAACTCGTAACTAAACTTAGGGAATGGAGATGAAAAGGAGCAAATCTGATATAAAAAAAATAAAGTATTTTTGTGACGTAGGCGATAAATATTGCGGAGTTTGAGTTTCTCGCTCGTTAGTATTTTTTTTATTTTTATTTTTTTCTCTTTTTTCTTAACTTCTCTCTGAGCTTTCATTTCTATTGCGAAATGTACATTTACTGTTTTCGTGCAGAACTGCATCCACTCTCACTCAATAATGCTTTTATTTATCCCCCTTGGTCTTCAATAAAGAGCTGACTGTTGTGAAGTAATTTTGTTATATACAATTTAAAAAAAAAAAAAAAAAACTAATACCCTATGTACACTCACTATATGTATATCGCAAGTTATAGAAGGCAATTACAAATATACATTCACTTACCTTTTCGTGTTGTCTGGGACTTTGCTTTGCTTTTGTTTTTCGCTGCTATTTCTTTTTTTAATTTTGATTGAAGGAGATTATGTTTTTGACTTTTTGTGTCTGAACTCTGCTTTATATTTCAATCAAATGCTACGGGCATATGTATGGGTGGTGCCAACAACAGCAGCATTTGTTCGCTGCTTTTTTACAAAATATGTTTGCTTTTTATATATTTGTTGTTTTTGTTGTTCTATGATCTTTTTTTTTTTTTTTTCTATAACAGTTTTAACATTTAATACATTCAGTCGCAGCTCGAGTGAAATTGTGAACTGAAAGCAAAAAAACAAAAAAAAAAATCAAAATACAGGTTTTATTAAGAAATTATATATATAGTTTTTTTTTTTTTTTTAATATTTTTTTTTTGATTTATTTAAATAAATTCAATAACAAACGATTAGTTACACGAAAATATTTCAAAAATATAATTTACAAAAACTTCGAAATTATTCTTTCAATTATTTTTATTATGTCCAAAATCGACTATCAATCAACATTCGCTGCATGGTATACATATTGATATTAGCTCGCTCAACAATACGTAATTTTCCTATCTATATTTTGTAATATTAAATTATTATTAAAAATATATATATTTTTGTGCTATTATGTACTTATATAAAACAGAAATGATTGATTATTCTGTTACACCGCATATTATATTGTTTTTCCATAATAACTACCTATCAACGTATGTCGTTTTTGTTATTGATAATATTGTAAAAAAAAAAAAAAAAATTCTTCTTATCTTTTAAATTAAATTTCAATTATCCTTATACCCTATATACATATATATATGTATATATGGATATATATGATTTCATCTCTGCTCAACAGTAAGATATACGCTTACGCTTAAGGCCCGTTGTTGTTTTCAAAGGATAAGTAAAATTTTTATTACCATTTTTGGGATAAAATCTATATTCTCTTGTTGAGAAATCTTTATATTACAAATAATCAGATATATTAACAACGGGTTTTGCTGTTATGTTTCCAAAAATGATATATGCCGTCTCATCCTATTGATACTTTATATCAAAATATTAATGGTTCAACAAGAATAGTCCAACTTTCACCTCACAGCTTAATGATTGTCTCGTTACATCTGACGATTATTAAATTTTGATCAAGATAACCTTTGCTTCCAGCATGCCTCTTATCGCAAAGGGGAATTGAAATGAACACTTTCTTCGGCGTCATGCTATCAATGTAAAAGGGTTGGTATAAGAGCATGCTCGAATCGTAGAAAGCAATAATCAATTAATGTTTTAGACTCCTTAGCACCTATGTACTACCAAGGTTAGACTATAATTCGATAACCAGTTGTATATGCGGTTATGATTTTTTCAGTCTTTTTGGTGGGGAGCGTGGGGAGTCGGTGCCCATAGATGACGTCAATTTGTTCAATACCTTCGACATTGCTGACCATAGGTGTAGTATGGACAATGTTGTATCCATGTACTCATATATTTGCATGCTCTGCAAAGATAAAAGGCAGCCATTCACTAATTAAGCTCTTCAGTAAGATTACCCGGCCTTTACAACGTTTGTCCGTTAGTCGCCCGTCTACCGGACGACACGTTACCGTTTTCAACCAAGCTGCCTAAGACGAGCACACAAAAACATGACTATATTATTATTCTTTTCGCGCCATTACTATTACGCATGCGCAGATATAGACAAGACAGTGACAGGTCAAAATGCTATCGGACATCAATTACACAGTCAACTTTTTAAAAACTTAATATTTGCCATTTGCTGTTGTAATCTCTTAGTTTTTCTATATAATTGCGAGTAGCTTAATATCTGGCGCCCAACTTTGTATATGATAAGTAAAACATTGGACATAGTTTTGTTGGTTCAGCCCAATGATTCTAAGACCAATTGTTGTAAATTGCAGACTAAATTGAATGCTTCCGGTTAGAGTTTCACTTACACTGGGATACCGGATAGGTTATAAATTTTATCGCAAAATTTGCTTTAGCTCGAGCTCGAATTTTCAATATATTCGGAATGATTACACTAAATGACGGATTAGAGATCAGAGAATTCACTTTCTAAGGAATTTGTTAGAAGTGTCATTCCAGTTGTGTTCGCTTCTTATAAATAGATACCTAAACTTAAGTACAAGTTACTACGCGAAACATATACCCAAAATGAGTTTAAAATTCAAGAGATCGGCCTGAGTAGTCGAAGGCGAGGAATCTCGACTAGCAAGTCAATGGTCGTGGGTTCGAATCTCAAGTGCGGTAGAGTTTTTAATAAAAGCCGATAGCCTTAGATGCTAGTGCTTTTAAGAGTTTAGTCTTAGAATTTATTTCTCTGGCGAAATTAATAATAATAATAACAATAATAATAATAAAATTTAAGAGAAATTCCGTCATGTCCTATCGTTTTAAGGATATTGTTGTAAGACCTGGATTTTGCAAAAGTAAATAGAGAAAGAAACAATATATTCCCCACATATCAATCAGGAATTATTTATCCAAGTTGGCAAGTAAGTAAAAATTAAAATTTTAAATATATTGAATTTAGAGATCTAGAGAGAGAGCGTATAACATGTATGCACTGTCGCTTAGTTATTTTCACAACGTTCATCCGGCTGTCCCCTAGACTATTACTTGCCATTGGCATGCTAGTGAGGCGCAAAACTTACTTCACACGCTTCCCTTAAACACATAAGCCTATAGCAGAAATGAAAATTCAAATCAATCTAAGGTTCATTATAAAAATGGACATAAGCGCCTGCAATCAATAAAAATCTCATAATATGTACTCATTACCTATCCATAAGTAACTTTTATTCCTTAAGATTGATACACAAGCAAACAAGTACAGGAGTGCTCTCAGGAGCCAAGTACAATGGTCTTTATAAATTTCAAAAAAAGAAAACTTTACAAAATGGGTTTGAAGTGGGGAGCGTATCTAGGATTTAAAGTTAACTCAATTTTTAACTCCATTTTTTAAATCAATTCTCATTGAATTACTCGCTGATCAAAACGTTGATCAAAGAAAAGCAACGTATGCTACGTATATATAAACTTTCGATATCGATATATTTGAAATATTAATAAAAATTATGAAATATGTAATGAATGTTGAATAGCTTTTCCGTAGCTATTTACAAGTTGCTCTCCTATATCTTTAGTTTATCATTTCTTTTGTTTGCAAGGTTTTATTAATCGATTTCATGCGTATGCGTACATTTTATAATACGTTATATTATATATAAATTATATACATATTCAAATGTATTTAAAATTTTTATATTTGTTGAGTCGAAATCTATTGGATAAAATTTCAAGTTTTTTTTTTACATCATAATACAATATACAATATATTATTTTCGACAATGAATTCATCCTTGAACCCAATCATGAAGCTTAGTGCATTAATTAGTCATTTAATAGGCAATATATTATAAAATTTCTATCATATAATCAAAGTCATAATAAATGACTTAATATTGCTTAAGTGTAATATATAATAATAATAATAATAATAATAATAATAATAATAATAATAATAATAATAAAGATATAAAATTAATTTTGGATAAGTCGATCATTTAGAGTGTCGTGCATTTTATAACCAAATTGAATTGATTGCATCTGTGAAAGTGTTCAAGAATATTTGCATATATTTGCTTGCTTTAATAATGAACTCATCATAGATACAGGTTATGAAAATGTTAAGAGTAATGACTATACTCTAATTATTTTATTATTACTATTAAAATGATGTTGTGAACAGATGTTAAGTGATTTGTTTCCATTGCACATTCAAATATGATTTACTATCTATGCACTCGAGTGAACAACATGAGTTCAATCAATTCTGAAAAAATATTTAGCTATCTATTTTGAAATTTAGATCCTTCTCCATTACGTACGTTTAAGTTCTAAAATTGTTATTATTATTATTATGATTTTTTTTTTTATCAACTGCTATTTAAATAAGTATATAAAGACAGTGTGTCACGACGGCTCACTATTAATTACCCTACATCATCCTGTAGCTAATTCATATAAGGCAAACTCTGTAGTGAACCGAACCATTTTCAATAGCGTAACACGTAAGTGCATCAAATTTGATTAGGTTATGTCAAAATTTGCGGCTTGTAGTTTAAGCACAAAGACACAAAACCGATAAAACGGAAAGACAAGCTTAAATCGATATAATAAAGAACGAGTCCATCTTAAGCCCTTCTACGTAATGCACACATCCGCACAACCGGTGGGGTAGGCTACAATTATTGAGTATAGAAATAGTTCATGGTAAGATTTCTAGGATCGAGCAACCTTTGGTGCTCTAATCTTATCAAATTATACTATAGCACTGCCACTATATAGACGATGGCAATTAAGAGATATTAAAAAAAAAAAAAAAAACACGGGTACACTGTCACATTCATTCATTAGTCAGTTGAAATGAAGTAATGGCGTTTATGCTACTTTATAAGCATAAGCTTAAATATTTTGAAGCTTTGAAATGAATGGATTTGCACCTTTTGAATACAAATTATTAACATATGTTATTATTATGTACACAAGTGTATATTATTAAATACAAGTTAAGCGAGAATAAACAATCTCTTGGTATTTAAGTACTTATGCTCACGAATGAAAGGCTTTCCTCATGCCATAAATCTTCGCGTTACAAGAATTATTATTTACAATGAATTTTATTTAGGAAGAAAATGATACATTTGTATTAGTTATGAAAAATGTTGTATCCATTTATTTAACTTGAATGAACTGACTAAAAATATGAATTCATAAAATTGATTTTTAAAAGTTTGTTAATGAAATTTAATAGTAAAGTTAGTTAATATTTTTGATGGCATCTTTTTTTTCTCTACTTTACTCAATTATCCTCATAATTTTTTTCTTCATCTCTTTCTTCTTATTGTTATTGTTAACATTTAAAATCTATTATTTATTGTATATTATTGTTGTTGTTTTATTATTGTTATCATTATTATTATAATTATTATTATTATTATTATTATTATGGTTAATAAAAAGCTCATTTATGGTCAGCATATTTCGTTTCTTCATTGTAAAATCTTAAAGTCCAATCATGAAAGTGTGTTAAAAAAACCAGTTTCATATTGAAGTTTTATTTATATAATTTTTTTTTTTTTTTTTTGTTTTGTACATCCAGCTTGTTCTTTTTTTTCTTTTACCATTACTATAAGGTGTATTCATAGCAGCATTTCGTATGCAACAGGCAGAAATATGCTATTCAAACTATAGCTCAATAGATGTTCGTAAGTTGACGCAATAAAGTCCTTTTCATATATCATAGTAATAATAATAATAATAATAGCGTCACCTAATATTTAACTAAATACTTTCTAGCACTTCATCAATACGAACTAAGCAGAAGTATTATTATTATTATTATTATTATTATTATAAATTTAGTCAAAAAATTAATTCTAAGACTAAAGGCTTTGCTAAAAGTACTACCGCACTTGAGATTTGAATCCACGAGCATTGAGTTGCTAGTCGAGACTCTTGCCTACTCGGCCACTTAGCCGTATAAGCGCAAGCAACTGAGAAAGTTGACTCTTACAAGCCAATAAAACATGTTCGTGAATGGACTCATGAATAAATGAAGAGCTTTGTCTGGTGGTATTTGAATTCGAGACTAATGTCATGTCTCCGAGACTTGAAAATATTCTAAACTTTTTCTCTATTCTCGATTCAATATCCATGGTGTTCGGTGGTATCCTTTAAAGGTTGCTTATCTTGATTAAGTTTAAGAATTTGTAAAACTATAGCGAAATATAAATAGGACGGGTTACAGAACATTTCTCGCAAGTCGAATACAACGCAATCTTGTTTTTTTTTTTTTTTTTTTGGTTTAATTTAAACTTTTCTATATTTATATATATATATATATATATGTATGTATAGTAAGAAGTAAATTTTATTGTTGCGATTAACATTAGAAGACTAAAATTGGCAAAGTTCACTTAAGCCAGTTTCTTTTTTATTGCAAATCATTCTCTAAGATGAATTTTAAAATAAATTTTTTTATGCACGATTAATTGTTGATTTTATTCCTCTCATAAAAAATATATGATAAACAGTAATGAACTTTTAATATCTATTAACGTAAGTTCGTAGGTATATATTGACAAAATATTCCAGTACTTTAATCTGGACTGGAATGAGAAAACTATACTAATGGACATAGAAACATGTATGAACAAAATGCTGACGAGATCGAATTTAACGGATATATCTTGGAATTTTACTCATAATTTTGATTCTAATACCGCTCGCTACAGTCGTTTCTTTTAACTTACTGCACAAGCTCGTTTCAACTGTCGACAATACAACAACGGTAGCGCTTGATGCTCTTCTCATGCCGTTGGAGGTACGGCCTAGCCTTATAGAGCCTCATCCTGGAGCTTTCTCCTCCCTTTGGCCGTAAGCTTTCTTAATTTACTTTTCATCAACGTTTGTCGATCGGTTTAGAGTATCTTTCTATACTCAATATGGCCAAGTTTATGCGCCAGACTAGATTTATGTTTTCATTTGAAAATATGCAGGCACTCTAGAAACTCTTAATCGGGATATGATCGTAATTCTGATTAGCAATAATGCCTTGCGTTCGTTGCTGCCATCGTTATTCAATCGGCCGCGCGATACCAGATATTAAGATAAAACATTGAAACGTGACACATATATAATATTTCTAGACAACTTAGTTCACACATATAGGAAGTTGCACGCGTAACCACGCTTCTATATGAAAAATATATTATTGCGAATTTTAATCGAAATAAATATCTAATCGAACCATTCACTGATGTTTAGTGAGAAAACGGCCGTCTACAATCTACAGCATATACTGTATATGTAACAGGCTTGAGGCTATCTAAAAAAAAAAAAAAAAAAACGTGTAAGAATGCTGCGATTAACCGCTGGACACGCCTATAATTATACAAAACACTTTATATATATATATATTTGTCGTTTAGAATGGCCAGTGCTACTGCTTCGTCCCATATTTATTCTGCGAATGTAGTTTAGGCTTGCATTAGTTTCTGCTAAGTCAACATTTTTGCGATCTTAATGTTTATCTATCTACCTTTGATGGCGTGAGGGTTTAAAAATAGCACCTAATTTGACCTACATCAAGTTTACAACAAGTCATTTACTGGTTTTGTTTAACTTGGCATGCCGTGCTTGTTGCTGTTGTTGCGTTTGTCAATGTTGCTGTATTTGTGTAAAACTCTTCTTAGCATCCGTCTTTGTGTGCTCTGGTCTGAAAGCTTAAGATTTTCTTACATTTTTTTTTTTTTTTTTTTTTTTTATCTCCATTTACTTCTTCATTGTTGGATTTCTTGTTTACCATATCTACTGGTTATAGTTTTGTGCTGTGCTATTCTTTACTCTTTCGTCCCTCTCTTCATTTTACTCTCATCGCTCTCCATCATTTTTCCTATATACATACAATATTTTGCATCTGTTGGTTAGTTGGTTGGTTAGCTTGATTGGTTTGTTTATTTCACTTATATGGCTATTTGTGTTTAAGGATGCATTCAAATCCATATCAGTTTTTTTTTTTTTTTTTGTCTTTTCTTTCTTTCTCTCTCTATATATATATAGATATATATATATATATATATTTTTATATTATATTATATTATATTATAATAAAATTGAAACAAAACGTGCGTTTTAATATATAAATATATATATGAACATGATATCTACCCACGCAGTGATAACTAGTTTGGACACGCAATACATTGGTGAGTGAGTCATTCGACTTAATTTTTAATTCGAATTTTGTTTTTCTCCCATTTAGTTTATATTAGTTATCATCTATGTGGCTGTGAATGCGTGTCGGTGTATTATGCAAACTAGGCCAATATTATATCGATTGTAACTCTACGCTAAACATTTATGGTTACTTACATTCAAATATTTCTCCAACTATGAAATGCTTATTGAAATGTTTGAACGTGGGTTATCCGCTGGTGATTGTAAGTGTTGAAGGAGAAACGTTGATTATTACTGGTTTTTCTTTAGAATATCATAGCCTGGCTAAGCATAGTAATGGGAGTTATTCATTAATTTTTTTTTTTTTTTTTTTTGCATTTTTCTTACAATCTAATGAATATTTAATAAAAGTTAATTGCAATCACAATCCAGTCCATATACATGCAAAATATTTCTTCCTGTAAAAAATATTTTAGATAAAAAAGTCTACTGCTTAGATGTATGTAAAGGTTTCAATCAGTTCTTTCAACAGGTTATACTAAGAAAAACTACCAAAAGGTGCTTGTTTTTGTCGCGCCTAAGACAGCAAAGAAAAAGAAAGAATGCAAAAAATCCATAAAAGAATTTTAACTTTTAAAGGCAAAAAAACGCATGCGATTTTTAAATATTCCTCTTGATAATAAATTATAGAGAGGAAACCGCGCTTGCTAACGCAAAGATGCCTCTTTTCTTTTCATTAATTGCAATAAGGATTTTTTTTTTTTTTTTTTTTTTTTTAAAGGCAGCCGGAATTTGTCAAAAGTTAAACATGCCTCCAAATTGCGAAAGTTCAGTTGATCTGGTTTTTTTTTACATGTACATATATATATATATAAATAGTTTAGCAGTACCTTGAGTTCTTTGAAAACTTTTTCTTTAAATGCAGGAAACATGAAAACTTATTCGAGGTAAAGTCTAGAGAATGAAATTTTCGGTGATTAAATGATTGGAAAAAAAAATGTCTGCCGACGATCTCACGCTGCTGGATATATATATATGTAAAAACAAAAACCGGATCAAAAAATTTGAACGGTTCCATGAGACATACGGAAGCTATACTTTAGAAGTCTAAATGATTTGAATACGATACCATACAATTTTTTAAAATTCTTTTTCCTTCCTGTCATTGGATAAAGTTAATCAGAGCAAAGTATCCCTCAATCAATTCAAGATTCTTTGGAAATGCATGGTACAACCCATGTAATCATAATTTGTTTCTACCACATATTTTGCAGTCTTGTTACGAAAACAATAAAAACACTCTGGAGTGCTGATGATTTGCTTGCTTCCATTCTAAAAATCTAAATGTCAAAAATGCCTTGCGCTCTAATCGATCAATCAATGAAAAAATCGAAATCGGAGAAGAGTATCACATAACATGAAAGAGCTCGAAGTTTGGTACGGGATTGGTGTCCCCATAAGACTATGCAGTGCCTTCAGAGAGAGAGAGAGAGAGAGAGAGAGAGAGAGAGAGAGAGAGAGAGA